AATTGTTCGCAACGGTTTCTGATCGATATGTGCATGACTTTCCGCCGTTCTTTAGCCCTCCTCATTCGTTCAAGGTTTTTGTCCATCCATTTAACCTTTTGAGCTATCCATAAAATATTTATAGATGCTGTTCAACCGTTTAACGTTTTAAGCCATCCGTTTATTTTTTTTGTCGGCCGTTTAACGGTTTACGGAATCCGTTTTTGGACTTTGCTCTACCGTTTAACGCTTTGGACTATTCGTTTAAACGGACATGCACACCGTTTTAATGCTCTTACTACCCGTTTACTATCCGTTTACAAACCGTTTATTTTTACCCGTTTAACGGAAAAGCGTTAGTGTACGAAATCCTGTGCCAGGTCACAAGTGCAACTAGTTGGGTAATGCAAGACTTGTATATGTTCTTCCTAACATTAAATGATTTTTTTCATTTCAGTTCCACTGTTCCCCTTTTCCAAAAGGGTTATTTATTTTGTGTTATGTTTGCTGATCAGTTAACATTCTCTTATTATCTGTTCAACTACCATGCTGCTATCCCAGCTCTCACACTTAAACTCTTCCATAAGAGTCATTATGGATTACCGTCTGTTTGAAATGACCTTCGACTGTTTGTGTTTGATTCAAATCAAAATTTCAACAAGGTTCAAATTGACCAAATGGATTGAGAAAAAAAGAAAGGCTTCCGGCCTTTCCAAACAAAGGCAAGTAAGACCAATAAACTGGACGAATTGAAGAGAAACTCGATAATAAAATACAACGTGATCCTACATGTAACTTGCATGGAACCAATTTCGCCATGATTTTCATCCGTTATGATGCTGGTAAATCTGCAAATTTGGTGTACTAACTCGAAACGAAATTTTCTATTTTTGAAGGAAATTGTATCGCTTTTTCCAAACATTTCAAACAATTTTTTCCCTTCTTTACAACGTGACAAAGCAGAAATTATCTCGCACTGACGGGAATTAGTAGGCAAAAAGACATAGCTCTTTAAAGGGAGAAACGATTAAAAAAGGACTAAAAATCGATCACGTACTAGGAAAATTTTTTACGTTTCATTCTGAAACCCTTTGTGTCGAAAATCTGACAAGTATATAGCGAAAATCATTTAACAACCAACCTGACTTTGAACAGTAATTCCTATTTCCTCCATCTTGGATTTTCAACTATGAAGTACCCGGATGCTTACCGCAGACAAGGAAACTGCGGGCTCTACTTAAAAGAAAACGAGGATATGGAAGAGGACTCAGAACGGCGGAGTCCAGTAAGTGTGCTTGATAATAATTCATTTATGTCCGCTATTTTAGAAATTTTTAGATTTATCTACCTTTCTCCACCAAACTTTACTGTGTTGGGATGAAAAAAATACAAATACTGCCACGTACAGCAATTTAGCAGAGGAATACAATACCTTCCTATTTCATTTAATTGACACAAGCAATAGTTCAGAGAGATCAGAATCGTGAAAGGATTCATGGTACTGCAAAAATCTCGTGAGGCAAACGCCAGCGTCCCCCGTCTGACCCCAACAGCCAGTCCGTTGTGTTCTTTTTTTCGCCTTGCCTATGCGTGGGTGATCTAATAAAAGATGGCACGCAGTTATTCTCTCTCCCTTGGTAAAACAAATTTGATTCAGAAAAAGTTTCCCCTTTTCATTAAGCATTACTCCCAAGTACTTGACATGTTCCTGAAAGCCTCCATCTGATTGTGTAATTCTGCTGTGGTTTACAACGAACTCTGCCTCGATTATGACCGGAAGGTCATTTTGCTCCAGGGCAACTTCACCCAGAGTCACGTCCGTACCCAGGTGAGTGACATCGGCAGAGATCATAATCAGAGGCTTTAGCGGTTCCGGCCAAACTGTTGTCAATCGGATTACAAAATTATCAATCCGCGTTTTTTTCCCCCGCATTTGAAGAGTGAAAAAGTAATTAGAAAATTATACGTAGACATTCGTAATATCAATAGTCGGACAGGTGATTGTCTGCTGTCAATCAGACAAAAAAGGGGGTGGAAATAAACAAAAGAAAGTGGCTGGTTAATCCCCTCTGATATTCAACTAGACTGATAGTCTCCTTCGCAGCCGTTGTTTGGGCTCGTCACGCAACGCTCCCTCCCCCACGGGGGAGGGAGCGTTACGTGACGAGCCCAAACAACGGCTGCGAAGGAGACTAAACAAGATCTGGACTGAAAAGAAACGAAGTCTACTTCATAAGAAATCTCAGTTTGTACAGTGGCCAAAAGCTTTGTTCCAGGTGTGAGCCACTTTTAGTTGATTTTTTTATGATATTTGAACAGTGTTTGTGTTTTTTTTTTTTCGTTAAACACTCAGAAATGCTACTTGACACTAAAATTATCCCCTTCAAGTACCAGAGTACGTGATCATGTCTCAGCAGTGGCCGTGACTTCCTGCATCTTCGCGAAGATGATCTTTAAGCGCGTTTCAGCGCATCTGCTAGTGAAACCGATATCAAACACCCAAGAGTCGCGAATAAATAGCTGCTGCTTTCACTCAAGAAACACAAACTGTTTGAATTCACGATGGCAACTTCATGGGTTGTGAGCTGTTGGATTGTGCTCCTCGCGATCGAAGGATCCTTCACAATGGATGAACTGGCTGTGACAGATTACGGACCACTTGAAATATCGATGGTGCGACATGGAGAAAAGTATGCCACCAACAGACCTTGCTACGAGTACGAAGATGTTCCGCCTTTGTACCACGGAATGACTCACGTTCGAGGGCCGAACGATAAAGTTGGGATTATAACTTTTAAAGTCGACGTTCCGGTCATAATCTACCTTGCCACTGATTCTCGCTATCCATACATCCATGGAAACAAATATGAAAAGACCGGTGACTTAGTCATGCTGGGGGGCTGCCACAAACCCGGGCCAGTTAAGTTCCCAATATACCGGAGTAGGAGGGTACATGGACCTGGTTTGGTGACCGTACGCTTCAGCTCTAGCCGTATGACTGGGATCTTCCTTAGGGATAACGCATTCGACGTGCGCCCCTATGCCGAACTGAAAGTGACCTTCTCCGGTACTCCCCGGGAGATAAGCATGGTTCGGGAAGGAGAGAAGTTTAGCACCAACCGAGATTGCTACAGGATGGAAGATATTCCCCCGAAGTATCATGGATTGACGCATCTTCGGGGGCCCAACGATGAGAAGACCATCAACTTTTACGCGAATATTCCAGTGATCATTTACGTCGCCATTGACTCTCGTCAAAATCGTCACACTATTTTGCCGTCGGATTTCAAAGCCACTGGGGAAAGGATCATCCATGGGGGTTGTCACGATCGTACGAAGTTCCCAATATACGAGAAGAAATATCCCAAAGGGGGAACTGTTACTGTTCCACTCACGGCGTCCCGGATGTTAACAGTTATGGTTAAGCCTCTGATGATGAACTAATCAGCGCTCAGACACTTAGTCAAAATAAGATTTGAGAGTAAATTTTTATCTCGAAAAGAGATAAAGAGACTAAAGAGACTAAAGAGAAGCGAAATGTAATGCTATTAATTGGAATAAAAGACAGAAAGTACTTGCTCCTAAGGTGCCGCCCCTTCCGGTTGAGAGACAAAGATTTCACCACCTGACCCCTGAGAGTGACTAGCCTCTAATTTCTCCTTACAGTATCACCCCTGAATCCAGCATTAAGGTCAGGAGAATAAAGGAAATTATGAGCTCTTGATTGTTCAACAAATTCTCTTTGTCAGCATCTCAGGAAAAGTGTAGAGAATAGCATGGAGAATATGCATACTGATGCTAGGGTGTAAAAGGGTTTAAGTCCGCCATTCTCTTGTTTTCTGTTGTTGTTTTGAGTGGTTTTCAAATGTGTCGAAACTCATTCGCGGGATTCCATCAGGTTGGTTTTACTACGTTCTGACAAGAAGCACGCGCCTTATTCTTAGCAAATCAATAGCAGACCACACTAAGCGTTCGTGGTTAATAATTCTTGACAAAAGACGAACAATCTATGAGGTTTATGAATAAAGCTCTAAAAATTGCATATATAAATCATTCCTCGGTCTGAATATCTCATAAGAGGTGAATGGTATTGCATTGTAGAATTTTTCGCCTTCGTGGGCCGTTTAAAGCGTCTTTTTTTACGAAATTACTTTCGGCTAGACGCCGCCAAGAGCAGACCTAACATCAAAGAGTCTATCCCATTCATAGTAAGCTAGGCTACAGCTACGATTTTTAGCATTTAGGGAGGGGGACAAAAAAAAATCGTAAGGTGCCCTCTGCACACCTTAATTCCTAAATCCCTGATTCCTAGAGAGCCTGCTAACTGAAAGAAAACCAGGCATTCACAGTGTTTACTGCACTACAATATATCCCATAGCTTTGATGTATCTGTCACCATTATCTGGGGAAGCTGCTGCTGTGTTTCCACATGCATTGGAGTTATCGGGACCTCCTCCACCACCAAACCCAATTCTGGAATCACAAGAGTGACAGTCGCTTTCCTGGTTAGCGATATAACCGATTCTTACTTTGGAATGACTGCTTGAGGTACCCACAACATTGAAGCCCTCCTTGTTACAGTTCAATTGCAAAGAGCCCTCCGCGCCAATCAACTTCTTCCACTCGTTTCGACCCAATGAAGTAGCGCGGTAGGTTCCGTCAGCAGTCAGTGAGTGAAGAGAGTTTGCTTGCTTGTTAAAGACAATAAACCTGAGTTGTCCACTTATCTTCATACCGAGACAGATCTTGGAGAAAGGTGTGTTCCAATAGGTCGGTAACTTGGTCTCTTCTGAATCGAACCCAGTCCTTCCTCCAAGAGCATTGTATTCATTTTTGTCACTCCAGTAGCTAGAGTCGTACCGAAACGTTGCCTATATAAAAATAATGGAATATATTAAATTTTTCATAACTAATAGGGTCTCCTGAGGGTCTCAAAGTGCAAATGCGAGGCCGGGGTACAAGAAGGAACGCAAGAATAAAGAAGAGAATGAAGTCGAGGTTCCCTCGCAACTTTGACACCTACGAAAATTCCTTTTCGCGCTCGGCGCGCGAGAAAACCTCACTTTAGTCGAGAGTAAATGAGGGATCCCTTTGGTTTAAACAAAAGGCCTTATTTAAAACGAGTCAAAGCGCAAGGTAAGCCGCTTTACAGAAGGTTTAAAGAAAATGGGAAACGCATAAAAAGAGAATGACATATGTTCTGAATAACTGAACAACCAAATATGACAACAGTTTCTTGTGAAGTGCATATATAAAACGCCTTTGAGTTGAAAATGCCCTTGGGTAATTAGTGGTAAGAGTATCCTTTCAAGAAAGTGATAATAATGATGATAACAATGATAATAATAATAATAATAATAACAATAATAGTAATAATAATAATAGTAATAATAACAATAGCGAATATTCATACATAATAGCCCCTCAGTACCGAAGTACTGTTATTAAAGGGATCCTGTTTAATTATAAAAATTAAAATAGTATAAAAACGAAAATAGGATAAAATACGACTTTGGCTTGCGCTAACCCACATTAACTACGCTATACAAAATAAAATTCATCCAGAGACTTTCCAAATAATATCCTACCGCTAATCTGCCTGGTTTCTAAAAGTTACTTATATTCTCAAAGCGATAAATACTTTCCTTTTTTATGTACCTTGTTGCCGTCAATTTTCATGACCGGCGTCCATGCTCCATCTCCGCATCCAAAATCCCCCATCTGACAGAGAACTGTGGTCGGTTTGGACTCAAGGACTAATGTTACCAGTTGACTGGCACTTGACCTTTTTAATACAAAAAGAGACCCATTAATTGTCACTCGTGTGTACCAAAAAAAGGAAAAAAAAAGAAATATCTTCTCTTTGCCGGAAATCAATGAATTTTGTCTGATTCTTGCTTCCCCCACGCAAGACCGCATTTTCAACATCACGTGATTTAGAAAACTATTTACAAACAGAAATAAATTGATAGCTTAAGATCAAGCCCTCATTATTAGCGCTGCAGTACGCGCGTTTCTCCGCCCGAGGGGAGATTTGAGACGAGTTGGGGAGTGGCTTGCCGGGAGTCTGGCGCTAATAATCAGTGTTAGTCCCTTGCAAACAAGTTCAAATTTCAAGTTTATTAGGTCTGCCAAAACAATTACTTACAATTAACACCGCCTGGAAATAGCGAGCTAATCTAGGCGGGAAATGTTAAGGACAAACAAACTTGAATTCCTAATTGAAGGCGTTAATAAAAAGTCGATGTTGAATACATTATTTGTCAAAAGAGAAAAAAAAGCGATAAAAAGTGAAGAAAAATATTATAATTTATGATTGAATTGTAATTAAGATGCCTTTTTATTTCAGAAATAAGAGTGCTACTGTCAGCATAACTGTCCACAGTTTCTAGAGTTTCAAATAGTAATGCTTGAATTTTCTTTTTGAACATGTGCTTTGGTAGTTTTCGATAACTTTCGGGAATGCTGTTCCAAATGTTAGCACCAACAATGGAAAAAGAGTTTTTACGATGATTGAGCCTAGAATGATTAACATAGTAGTTAACAGAAGATGATGAGCGAGTATCATGATACTGATGTATGTCTTGTGTAGAAGTAAATAGATTACAGATATTTTGAGGTGCAGAGTTGGCGGTTATATCAAACATTAAGATTGATGAAAGTTTGAAGTAGAGCATCGAGATTGGCAGAATGTTAGATTGAGCGAAATATGGAATGGCAAGTCTTCTGAAAGTAAGAAAATTGATGAGGCGAACGGCTTTCTTTTGGAGTATAAGAATTTTTTCTAAATGAGACTTGGAATCTAAGCTTGGCCCCAGGCAATGAGGACGTAAGACATATAGGGAGCAATTAATGAATTTTGCAATACTTGCAATACTTAATCGGAAATTGCTTTCTTAGGAGAGAAACTTCTTCAGCACTTCAGTCATGAACTAAGAACGTGTGTTAACCTCTAGATAGCTATTTCATTACACTGTACATACTTGTATAAATTGTACACTTCTTTGCAAGACCTGATACCTATAAATAAAGAATGACAAATTCAGGTTCGTTTAGACTCGAGATACACATCACGAGAGAAAAAACAATTTCTGGCAAAGCAAACTTAAAAATCTGATTCGCAAAATGTGATTCCGAAAAATGCGAGAGACAAAGAAGTGAGTTTTTCTGTGAGGATTTGAAAGTCAGATGTTCTGATCGCGCAACTGATTCTTTCTAGATTTTGAATTGTGATAATTTTCAGAGTTGTCATATGCGCTTCAAAATATTTTCGAGTGTACACAAGTGTAAGGATACAGACGAGTCGAACAATTCTGACAGCCATACGCTGTTCAACGTAACAGACTGGAATAGTTGATCCAGGAAACAGTTGCTGAGTTACCTTTGTCACAATATTCGCCTGTGTAGCCTTTTGCACAGAGACACTTAAACGAGCCGTCTTTGTAGTTTGTCAAACAAGTAGATTCATGTTGGCAAGGAGATGAAGAACATGGTGACTGTGGAGAAACGGCATGAATTTCAAACCACTTTGATTTTTAAAGGGGGTACGTTTCTAAAGAAACTGTGGTGCTGCGTCGGTGGGAATAACAAGGTAATTTGGTTTTATCAGCTAAGTTGAAATTAGTAAAGAATTAAGTTGCTGACGTTTCGAGCGTTAGCCCTTCCTTAGAGCAAAATTTACAATTTCAACTTAGTTGATAAAACCAAATCAAATACGTTAATTTTTACTTTACTTTGTGCAAGAATTTGATATTTGATCTTGAAAAATGGAAAGTACAACTGATTACTCTCTCTAGCTGATCTAAATTCTGTTTCATTTTCATAACGGAACATCAGCCATGCCCTAACTCTCCCTCGTGGCCTCTTTTTAGGCTGTCACGCAACGCTCCCTCTGCCACCACCCCTCCCCCACCCCATCCCAAAAAGAAAGGAAAAGAAAAAAATTAAAAATTACAACGGTTGCTTCCAACCAAACAGCATTTCTTCCACGAATATTTTGGAACGCTCTAATAACACATCTCAAAGCTGCGACGCTTTTCAGTTAAGACTGGCTCTCACTGGTGTCTTAAGAGCGCTTCCGATCACGTGAAAATCGAAAATCGGAGTATAAAGTGGAGCTATGACGTCGACGGAATCGGAGTCGGAAGAATCTCAACGGTTTAATTTTCTTCCGATTCCATGTATGAGTTCGACGCTTATGATCAGTGAAAATTAGATTGTCGGAGTCGCAAGGAGAAGCGGAAGAACCAACCAATCACGATGCCAGTACGTTCTCAGGCTTTCCGATGGCTTACGACTCCGACTGACAGAGTGGTCAGCGGCATCGACATTTTTCTTCCGATTCCGTTGGTTTGATTTTCACTTGATCCTATCGCTCTGTATTTCTGATTTCGGCTCCGGCTCTGTGAAAACTACTTCTTAGCGTCCCCTAAATTTCTCTTAAGGGAGAGTTGCGTAATATGCCACAGAACAGCTGTGAAGGAGAGTACAGGCGCCGTATGCTGAGTGAGAGCTGTTTCAATAGAAACCATGATATGATAATAGCGGAAAATATTTGTCAAAAATAACTCAACATTCCTGAGATTCGTTTGAGAAATCGTTCCCTACCTCTATGGCGAAATGATGCGAACTTTTATTCCCTTTATACTCTGTGGAGTTTCTGTATTTATCAGATGACAATAACTCGCACCAAAGTTTTCCGTGAGCTCCTTTAGAGGCGGCCAGGTTTACAGAAAAACACAACGGATTGCTGAGACAGTCAAACTTGCAGTCAAATACATCATACACTGTCACTGTTCCAACGAGCGGCACATTCAAGTAATGAAACTCGTTTTTGTTAAATCTATATCGTCGGAAATCTTTTGAAGTACAAGGTGTATCCCTGTGATACAAAAAGCCCGATTCTAGAACAAGAGACAAGAACAAAAATACTGAAAAGTTAATAAAAATAAATGCTATGAAATAGTTTCAATCCTCTTAAATTTCGCGCCTCTAAATTGATACTTCTGACTACGGCCGATTTCCGCAGCGTATATCATCTGTCTCAAGAGTTAGTCACATCTTGAATGAACACTCTTGAATCGAAAGCTAAAGCCAAGCTTGCTAAAGCTTATGTTCTTGGAAACATTTACCAAAGAATGCATTTTTTAATAGTACTTGCTTTTCTGTTGTAAATTTTCTGTTCAACATATCGGTTCGATTTCCGGCCACCATTTTAAAGGATGGAACCATTTAGTTTTCTAAATCATTCGGGTTTGTTCAAAATTAGCGACGAACGTAGCCAGTCGTACCACCGGTAAGGATGGCACTTTAGGATGTGGGGGGGGGGGGACCCTAAAAATAGCCACCGAACTTTTTCATTAGCCGTTAAGTGATATGATATTCAGTTTGAACAGGAGAATTACCCCTAGTTGGGGATTGAAAAGACATCAGCCAATAAAAATAGTCAGCAATCTTAAGCATTTTTCACGACAAACCATAGCCCGAAAGTTACTAGTTGAGTAATTATTCAGAAAATTTTTTTTTAGTAATCACCCTAAGAAGTTGGCTATTTAACTAAGAATATTGCGATTTTCTTGCAAGATGGCCAACAATATTGAGTGAAAACCTCATTTCGATGCTAAATTCGAAAATATTGCATATTGGTTTTCTCAGCTGGACGTCCAAACCATTTTGATTGAATAAAATCAACACTATTGTTTGAGAACCTGCCAAATATTTATTTGTATTCTTCTATCCCCAAATCAATTTATGTCTGATGTGTTAGTATCTTTGTCATCCAACTTGGCTAGCGTTTATTCATATTGATCCGTTAGGATATTTTCAAAAATTAATGAATAAAGTCCAGTAAGCCGGACTCTTGACCCCAGCGACTCCTGTTTCTCAAACATGCTGAATATTTTTAAAAGTTGCGAAGGTCATTGTATTTTTTTGCCATCATTTCATCACGTTTGATTCCTTACTACTTAAATTGTTTGATGCTTTCCTTTCCTTTTGCCACTGACCTCTGCGATACTAGTGCAGCGCTCTACCAATTGAGCTAACAAGCCAACTGGGAGCAGGCCGTTAACTAATACCGCAGTTCTAATTATATGAACTTCATATATTCATTGTATCTGATTTATCATCACGGGTTTATTACGAATCAACTTCACGGCCTGCTCCCAGTTGGCTTGTTAGCTCAACTGGTAGAGCGCTGCACTAGTATCGCAGAGGTCAGTGGTTCGAATCCCGTACAGGCCTGATTTTTTTCAGGTCTGATTTTCGCTATTGCATAAATAGCGCTCTCTACTGCGAGGATCGTGCATCATACGTATTTTGACTGTATTTGACTG